CAGGCAGTACAAACACGTGAGCAGGTTCATTCGTGTTTTTGCTCTTTATTATTTCGACTGACCACCTTTACTCTGCGGTAATCTCCTAGTTGCACAAAAGAGGTACACTCAAGATTTATAAATGTGTCAGAGTTCATACCAACTTCGTGAAGACTCTATGCCCTCCTGCAGAAGTGAGTACCTCGCAAGCATGAGGCAAAAGCGAGAGATTAGGAGAAGCTGCCTAGAGAGATAATGACAAATAGAACGATAGTGAGAGAGAGAGAGAGAGAGAGAGATAGAGAGAGAGAGAGAGAGAGAGAGAGAGAGAGAGAGAGAGAGAGAGAGAGAGAGAGAGAGAGAGAGATCAATATCTAGCATGCGATGACACAAACCAGAACATCCTGTTCTATAGGTTTAATAAATAACCATTTACTGTATAGCTATCTGGTCTATGGGCCCACCTGTCCTGGTTTTCCAGCGTCACTGTTAGTCAGCTTGAGCCGTTCAAATGAAACAATCTGGGAACAGATTGCTTGTCCACTGATTGGTCCATCAGGAGTGACGTGGACAGGAGGAGATGGCAGAGCATCTCCTGATCCAGAAACTATCCAACGGGAACTGAAAAATAATACGGCAACTTAAATTATTTGAAGGAATACTTGTTAACCTGATGGTGATGTTAAACTAGTTGGAATATTCATGGATTTTCTTCAAGCTCAAAAGAATGAATATCTCTTGTAAATTGAAATAGAGAAACACGTGATAGGTAATGAAATACTACTACTACTACTACTACTACTACTACTACTACTACTACTACTACTACTACCACTAAAAGAGATAACAATATCAGTATATATATATATGCAAGCAAACAAATGAACAAACGAGCAAAAGGTATTATGTGGCAAATATATCAGTTTTTCAACAAACAAAACAAAACCCAAACCAACAAACAAACAAACAGACAAATAAACAAGCAAACAAACAAACAAAGGTATTACCTGTGATAAATATTGGTATTTTTACAAACAAACCAACTAACGAACGAACCAACCAACAAACAAACAAACAAACAAAAAGTGCCACCTGTGGTATATGTATCGGTGTTTCCTCGTGTCAGGTTGCAGGAACTCCAGTTTGAGTGAGTACAGTTTGTCTGGGTTCAGGCCGCTCACCCTCAGTTTGAGACTGGGAAACATGCGCCTGTGGTAGGGGAAGTGTACAGTCACACCTGCCCTAACGACCACCCACCTGTCCAAGACAATCTCTTGTACAAACGACAACTTATTTCCCACTCCTTTCTACTTCTCTTTCTTTCTCCCCTTCCCCCTTCCCACTCTCTTTCTCTCCCCACTTTTTCTTTCTCTCTCTCTCTCTCTCTCTCTCTCTCTCTCTCTCTCTCTCTCTCTCTCTCTCTCTCTCTCTCTCTCTCTCTCTCTCATTCTCTCTCTCTCACATACACACACTGTCTCTCTCTGATTTTTTTCTCTCTCTCTTTCTTTCTCTCTCTCTCCTACACACATGCCCCCCCCTCTCTCTCTCTCTTTCTGGGTTGGGTTGTGTAGTGCTGTATTCGGTTGAGTGTATGTGTGTGTGTATGTGTGTGTGTGTGTGTGTGTGTGTGTGTGTGTGTGTGTGTGTGTGTGTGTGTGTGTGTGTGTGTGTGAGAGAGAGAGAGAGAGAGAGAGTCTGTACGTGTGTGTTTGTGCATTTGTGTATATGAGTTCTAAAATTTTGTTTCTGTGTGTGTTGTCATAAAAGATCTATTCATAGCTCACCGTCCAGATTTTGTAATGATCATTTCAGTTCCGAGTCTGTGAAAAGATGCCCACAAGTCGGCATGACAGAGCTCTACAACAATGCTCTTTGCAAGACCGTTCTCGTCTGTGAAGAAATAGAAATACAAAATCATATACACGAACCAAAAATCATAGGAAAAGTGGTAAATCACTAGTCAAAGAGATCTAAAAAAATTACTTATAGAAATTGACACGATGAACAGATAGTATTTCTGTAGTTTTATTATTTAATATTCTCAAGATTCTTCTTCTTCTTGTTCTTGTTTTCTTGTTTTTGTTCTTGATCTTGTTTTTGTTCTTGTTCTTGTTCTTGTTCTTCTTAAACCAGGGTCTATGGTGCAGCAGTTAGAAACTTTGCGTCAAAAGCAAGAGTTCGATTTCACTTTTTGTATGTGTATGTGTGTGTGTGTGTGTGTGTGTGTGTGTGTGTGTGTGTGTGTGTGTGTGTGTGTGTGTGTGTGTGTGTTTGTGTGGTTGGGGGGGGGGGGTGATTTTATTTTGAGTATGTCAATCATTCCCTTGGGGTGGTGTTCCTTTTCAACCAGGGTTTGCCCTCAGTCATGGTGGGAGGACCAACATTTGGATTGGGCTTAGGTAGCTTCCACTTCTTTACCACCAAATAGCAAGCAATAAGAACAAAACAGTGGTGACTTTTCTATTCTCATGGCGATCCCCGACCCTTTGAGAACCATTCAAAGGAGAAAAGTTATCTTTGTCTTCCTTCTCTTTGTTCTACGACGTTAATTTCTTCTGGATGGTGGGGACGAAGCCGTTTCACCTCCAAATGTCTCTACCCAATTTTCGTCTAATGAAAAAGTGGCCTCAAAAGTGGTTTGATGCAATTAGTAACTGTTAACTCTCAGCGGTAAACAACAACAAATATGCACACACCACACTCCAAACATCTACCGTCTGTGAGCTGGATTAAGCCGTGTTGTCGCGTAAATTAGAACGCACATAACAAATGTCCAATGGATTGTAGCTGGCCTCCTAAAATGAACAAAAATGTGTCAATGGGAGTGTAAAACACCTACTCAAGAATTTTTTGAAAAAGAAACAGAAACCACAAAGAAGCACTTAAATCAGATTTTAGAAATGTATGTTTTAGTCATCTGAAAAGACAGGAAATGGGATGGACCTTCCGAAAAAAAAATTGATAAAGAAAATACATCAAGAGGGTGAGTAACGGCGAGCAGTGGAAAGATTATCGGCTGACTAATGTCAGATGATAAGCTGTGAGGGGAAGGAGTGACTCGTGGTTGCAAGGTAATGTTTCCTAATTGCTGTTTGGAAAAAGGAAAAAAACCACCAAAAAAAACAAAAGGAAACAAAACAAAATATGCCATCTCGGAAACGGGATTGTTGTTGCGCTTAGTCGTCTTCTTGTTCTTGTTCTTGTTCTTGTTCTTGTTCTTGTTTTTCTTCTTGTTTTTCTTCTGCTTCTTTTTCTTCTTCTTCTTGTACTTCTCCTCCTCCTCCTCCTCCTCCT